GAGAGAGAGAGAGAAAGAGGGAGGGAAAAAGCACAAGCGATTGTGGAAGGGATCATGCCATGTCATGTCTACCTGTACTGAACCATTTCAAGAAAAGATGTATAGGAACACGGCCTGACACAGAGAGATTCAAAGAAGAAGGAATCGTCCGGGTGAGCATGGTCTGCGCAGGAAGGCTGGTTCCTGATAACCAGGCTCGCCAGAGGGCCACCAACTCTGAACAATCAACGGCATAGGAAAGCAGTGAACGCGTTGGATTGCTGCTAGGGATCGACGACCACGCCAGATCATTCATTGTGCACCCCGACAATAACTTTGGTAGGCCCAGTACCCGCAACACTTTCCAAACGGATGGTAATACATGATCATTTCTTCTCTCCGGGCACTTTCTCTGTAGGCGGCTTCTCCTGGCTCAAGATCTTCACCGCATCCTTCGAGTAAATATAGCTCGCACCACTCCACACCGTGGTACTGGCAACGAGGTACCTATCGCCATTAGCCTGACCCATCTCTAACATGAAGCACCGACTCACTGCATGGCTGTCATCGCCGTCGTAACATCAAAAGTCACCAAGGGCATAGCCGTCGCAGATCCAATCAGCACTAGCTGCAACGCGGTGTTATACTTGCTGATGGTGGTAGGGTGCACCTCAACAGAAGGTAAAGAGAAATCCCAGTACCGCGCAAAGGTCTTGGGAGGGGGAAGGGAGATCCAGCGGTAGTAGATGGCTGTTAAGGCTAGAGCTACGTCTCGACCGAGGATGATTACCGCAAGCCACACTACAGAATCAGCACTACCGCTGCAGTTTTCCAAACAGCTTGGGGATAGATGGGGGTAGTACCAGGAAGAGCCCCCTTGATAGCCAAACACACCGTCAGGATCGTCATCAAAGTCTTGTCGGCCATTGGATCGATGACCGTCCCCACCACCGTCTGGAGGTTCCACTTCCTGGCTATCCAGCCATCTACCAGATCGGTAATTCCTGCGTAGGCGAAGAGTCCGACTGCCCATGCATGATGATCATGGAGGACGAGGTAGCCGACGATGGGGGCGGCGATGAGGCGAGAGAATGTGAGGATGTTAGGGATGGTATAGATATCTTCATGCGGGGTGAGTTTGGTGAGGACTTTGAGGAGTGGCTTCTTTGGCTCGGGAGTTTTGGTTCTGGGGCTCCATGGTTAGAGATGTTTTTTTTTCTTTCTTTTTTTTTTTCTTCTTCTCTTCATGGCTAGGAGGAGATCTCGATCGAACGGGAAAGTGTGTCACGTGTTCATGTCGATGTCCACGACAGTGATGCTCTTCTACCGACGAAAACAAGAAGCAGGAGCCGTGAACAAGAGATGGTCACATTGTTTCTTACCTGTGGGCATCTTCGGGCTGCCTGGATGTTGAGTAGGGGAGGGGTAATCCTTGGTACCGCAAGTTCTCGAGCCGAGTTCTACTGAAAGTCAACATCAAGCACGTGAGCATGTAGGTTAGGTACCTAGGTAGGTAAAGGTAAAGATAGATGCATACGATCGCCAAGCCTGGGCTGGACCCTTTGCTGTCTGCAGTGAGCTGGCCCTCAATGATGACGGCCTGCTTGTCGCTGCTTTCTGGGGGAGGAACAGGACCGTCGAGCTGCTCCGCCTGGGTTTCCCGTCAAACGGAGAATGCCCTCTGCAGGCTCTGGCGGCTCTCGCCCATGAGTAGCAGGATCCTGGTCCGAGTCCGAGTCCGAGTCTGGGTCTCAGAGGCAACATCATAGCCATTCGGCGAATAGAAGAGCCAGGACTGGAAGCATCTATTAGGTGATTGAGATACCTGTTGTCGGTCTCAATGAGAAAACACGAGACGCGAAACACACGTGAGAAGGCAGGCCCCTGTACCACGCCAAGATTCACAAGCGACACGCGCGCGGCTATGGAATCTCGCTTGCTTCAGATGAAAGCGATCCTTTCCTTTTGCGTGTTGAAAGCATGTTGTTACCTCTACATACTCCGTACGGTGCTGGAGCCAAGTGAGGTCACCGCCTTTACCCCTGCCCCACTCCGTACATAGCAGAGTCGATGGCAGAATATTCCACCACCAAGTATCAACCCTGCCGGACCCCCTTGCTGACGAAGGCGGTGACCTACTACACTTGGCCCCAGCACCTCCGTAGACTTAGAAAGCATGTTTGTTACTACGTACTACTACTACCTTTACATACACCGTAGACTTTGACTCGAACGCTAGGTATCTCAACCATCCATCCATCCATTCTTGCTGCCATTCCGCCCGGGAGGCCGCCTCAACATACTGTATCTATCCACTTCCTCGGAGACCAACCTCGAAACGACTTCGAATCTTCAACGGGATTGAGCACGAGCGGTGGCTTCTGAGTGGCTCAAAGCCCGGTCAACTCAATTGCACAGACTTTACTGGCTCAAAGATGCTTTTCAAGGCCGAATCCGTGCAAGTTGATTGGTTTCAGCCCTGGTCAGAGAGAGCCCTTGAAATTTTATACTTTCCACATGTACTTACGGGTGGGGATAGTAGGGTGTGTGGGTATGTACGTAGTACTAGTATGTTAGGCGAGAGAGAAGAGAGGGGGGGGGTTAGAGAATTTGCGATTGACCTAGCACTACAGATGGGATGGACGGATGGATTGGTTTTGAGACCAGAATGGGATTGATTCTGCGTTCAGGCCCTGGGGAATGTTGTGTTGCTGGCGGCCGTTGTTACTTTCGCGATAGCGTCCCGTCCCGATGGAGGTTTAATCCGTACGGACAAGACTCGTGAGTATGGGGCCGCGAGGCAGCCAATAGTTGTAGTACAACGTACTACACTTTTCACACGGGGACTGCTCCGTACTACTGTACGTACTACCACTACCAGTACGCAGTAGTACTAGTATCTCCGCCTAAATACAGTATATGTCAAAAGTATAATTCTTGCAGGGGCTCTTGCCAGGGCTGGGACCAATACAGTAGACTCACAACGTGCTACGTAGTACGTAGTCTAAGGATTCAGCCTTGAAAAGTATCTTCAAGCAAAGTATGTACTCCGTAGTCTGTGCAATAGAGTTGACAAGGCTTTGAGCCATTCAGAAACCACCGCTTTACGATTTATGGTGCGAACTTATACTTTCCACATGTATTTAGGGATGGGTGGGGGCGGGGGGACAGTGTCATTTTTATCATCCGATTCCATTCTTCAAAGGGGAGAATTTAAAGTACGAAGTACCTAATGAGCCTGGTCCGTCCGCGCACGCTTAGCATGTGGAAGAAAAGTTACCGAGCCCGAGGAGCAGGTAGGAACATCAAAGTAAAACAATCAAATAAAATCGATCGATAGCCATTCTTTTTAATATATTTGCCTCTTGAACGCCCATCCGTATATCGATCCCCAAACTAAAGCCGCCCGCCTTTTGCCCCCCCTCCCCCCCCCCGTCTTCCATGGGAGATGGTTATCGATCTTATGCCGGCAGCGAAAACCAAAAAAGTAAAAGACGAAAATACTAAACAGCAAGACCAGACCGCGAGGGGTTGGTTACCTGGGTCGGTATTCGAAAACACGCGCGCGCCGATCGATCGATCGATTGATGTATGTTGTTATCCATCTGTTTATCGCCCACGAACAAACAAGATTGCGTGCCTTGCTCACCACCCACCGACACGACGCTGGCAGGTTTGCAATACCTAGCGCCCGAGGGAAGGCAAGAGAGAAAAGCAGAGCGCGCTCGGAGGAAGAGCTACCGGTAGCCAGATGGACACACAGGGATCAATCACTCAATCAATCAATCAATCAATCAATCCATCCATCAATCCATCAATCGAATAGACGCTGCTGTAATCAGAGAAGAGATGTACCTATCAAACCGACGACGTTCGCAGAAGAGATTACCTAGATCAAGCAGATTAGATTAGATTAGATCAAGGAGAGGCAGGTATGGAACGAACGAGGACCGAGGGACGGGGGATTTGCAAAGCTCCGAAGTAGGAGGAGGACTTATTTAGGTTGTAGGTAGGTAATCGACGCAAACCGATGGACGGGCGAAAAGGGCGATAAAGCTGGCCGGCCAGCTAGAGATAGTTTTGTTGGACATGCAGAGATGCCGACGCAACGTGCGGAAAGATCGACCCTGGAGGGAGATGGGAAAACTCATTTCTTACTCTTGCTCTTGCTCTTGCTCTTGCTCTTACTCGGCCTAAGCTGCGGATGAAGTTGCGACTCTAGAACATCGGTAGACAAGCATCGATCGATCGCATCGAGGTCCAGACAAACAAACCACAAACAAAGTGATTATCTCGAAAAGCCGGACGAAAGAAGCGTTTGTATGTATGAATGTATATATGTGTAGATGGATTAATGGATAGCATGTATGTATGTATGTATGTATGTATGTATGTATGTATGTATGTATGTATGCATGTAGATTATATATGTATGTATGTATGTATGTATGTATGTATGTATGTATGTATGTATGTATGTATGTATGTATGTATATATGTATACATTATGTATGTATACATTATGTGTGTATGTATGTATGTATGTACCTACAATCAGGAAACCCTGCATCGAAGTCAGGTAGATAGTAGTACCGGTATGATTGATAACCATCTACCGGTACCGGTATACTATACGTAAGTGATATTTAGGGCTGGCCGCCATTCTCCAGGATATCAAAGGTCGGGCGGGGTCTCCCATGCTATTCCCGTACAATCCATCCCCTCCTCAGAGCCCCCGACTTCTCCCTCTCTCTTCATCTGACCTAGCAAACCAAGAAACCAACCGCCAACATCCTTCC